AGACTAATTTAAACCGGGCCAAGGCCACTTATAAGCATCCATACGAAGGGAATAGTCGAATAGTCATAGGTCAAATGCAAAAGCACCCGCGCTCAGTCGACTTTCGACGACCGGTGGTATTTCTACCACAGCGTAAAGAGTCGGTTTCTTTACTCATGTGCTTCTAGTTCAACAACCGAAGCCGTCGCCGATGCGTCGCGAAAATAGCCGAGTAAACGTTTTGTTACTGATCGCTCGTTCGTGATTCGTGAAACGTGAATCGTGTTACAGAGTAAAACGTCTACTGTAATAGATAGTTTCGTTGCGCTGCAATAACCCGCTACTCGCTATTGTGTGAATAGATAGTTTCAGTAACTAGTTACGTTTTGTAACGACCACTCCTACTATATTCCTTGGTGTGTTGGCCTAAAGGTCTAGATAGCAGGCCATAAACTCCAAAAAAAAAATGGATGTTGTGTTGACGTGATGTTGTGTGATCAGCCCACAGAACACTAACTATACCACAGAGTACCTTTGACTAATACCCTGGATCAGCCTGGACAAGAAAAAGGAGCTTTGGCTAGTCAATGGAAAGGAGGAGTACCTACCTACCACAAATTATAAAGTTGATTGAAGATTACAAGATGACAGTTTCTACAAGAACTTTAGTGAAAATTGCTGCTTGGGGTGGTCTTGTAGTTAGCTCAACAGGTTTTTATTTACAGAATAAACTTATAGATAGGTATAGAAATTGGGATTCTTACAAGGACGCCTTGCGGAAACTCAGGGCTCATCCAGGTGCCGTGCATTACCTTGGAGAACCAATCAAAGATAAGAGATTTAAGCTAAGTGACAGTGAACATAATTTCTCCGATAGAACAACAGCACGTTTTCGTATACCCGTTTATGGACCAAAAGACAAAGGATATTATTACTTCTGGGCTGAAAAAGACAACGAGAATTGGTTGTTGGTTAGAGCTGAATTGGAATTAAAATCAAAACCAGAAGAAAGACTTATTATAATCAGAGAAAATAAGTAGGCGTTAATTATATAAGTGGTAAAATCTATTACATTTTAAAAAAATATTATTTTTTAAATATATTGTTAACCTTGTACTATGTAAATGATGATATAAATACTATGTTCTTTGTAAATTAACTACTTTGTTGGTCTAGTGGGTCATCTAGGACAACTGCTGATTTTCTATCAAGAAATTCTCAGTAGCTGTCCGGAGTCAGGAAGCTGGCAGTGTCTCACCCCTCTGCCTCGGAAAGCCCTTAAATCCATTGGTCCTGTGCCTGATCTCACCAGTTGTGTCGATTTACTGACCCATCAGGACTATGAGAGTGAGGGAATAGAGATTGCACCTGAGCTTGCACATACACTTGGGCACTATAATCCTGTCCTGTGCTACAATGACCAAAATTCGGTTGTGAGGACATTGTTATTATTAAACACCTATGATATTGCCTCTGTAAATGAGATATTGGAGCAGGTATAGGGCAGATCTGTTTGCTATTTAAATTAAACTTATTTAGCGAATAGCTTAATTAATTTTATTTAAAATAATCAGTTGAATTAGTTAAGGTATTTTTAGTTATTAAAAAATGAGTGTACAATATATTTTATATTTAGGTTTCTTTAATAAAGAATCCTCCAACCTTATTATGGGCAACATGAATTTTGGTCTTGATCTCCTTGTAGGCTGCAAAATTATTGTCCTAAAATAAGGCAGTCAAATAGATACAGATGCATCAGTTGTCAGTGTTGACTTTGTTGATAAAAATACATGCATGGAATGAAGTTTGCAAACATACATAACATAACATAACATAAACACTCACGCCTGTCACCCAAAGGGGTAGGCAGAGACTACAGACTTCCATTTGGCACGATCCTGACACACCTCTCTTGCCTCCTTCACATCCATACACCTATGCATACATGCTCGTCGGTTAAGGGTACTCCTAATTTGGCCCGTTTTCAATAAATCGCCAATTTGGTCGATAAATTTTTGCCTAGGGACGTCCCTTTCCGACTCTGCCATTCACTTCTGCAACATAAATTTTCTTTGTCACTCTTTCCTCATTCATTCTTTCCACATGACCAAACCACCGAAGCATTCCTTTCTTAATCCTGGTCACAAAATCATCTTGCAAACCACACTCTTCTCTTATTACACAATTTCTTACCCTGTCGTTCAGATTCAGCCCTAACATACTCCTTAAGGACCGCATTTCTACTGCGTTGATTCTACTCTCGTGCTTCTTCTGCCACACCCAACTTTCACTACCATACTTTAAAGTAGGGACCAACACAGCATTGTGAATTGCCATACGTGCCTTTTTTAACACATTTTAACTCTTCACAATAGAGTGCAGGGCCCCATTTATTCTATTTCCCGCATTCACTCGTTGTTCTATATCCTTATCATATCTCCCATCCCTGCTAAATACGCAGCCGAAATATACAAACTCATCTACTTGCTCGATCAACTCCCCCTTCTATTCTTATTTCACAAATCGTGTTACTTTCTTCTCTTTCAAAAACCATAACCTTCGTCTTACTTGCGTTCACTTTCATACCCCTTTCTTTTAATGATCTGTTCATTAATGTAACCATCATTTGCAACTCAGCCGCCGACGATGCAAGGATAACTTGATCATCGGCGTACAAAAGGCATTTGACGGTTAACTCACCCATTCTTAATCTGCATTCTTCAACTTTCAAATTTTGCAAACAACTTTCCATAAATAGGTTGAACAGCCACGGGGAAGCCACACAGCCCTGTCTGACACCTTTATGGATGTCAAACCAGTCCGAGTAGACCCCGTTGATCCTAACACAAGCACTAGAGTCCCTATAAAGAGACTCCAATGCCTGTATCAAGCCAGCGCTCAACCCAAATGAGTTCAGTGTTTGCCATAGCACATCCCTATCCACTCTGTCATAGGCCTTTTCCAAGTCCATGAACGCACAAAAAACCTTGGTTTTTGGCCAAAAACTTCTCCACGATCATGCGCATGGAAAAGACTTGATCTGTACATCCCATTCCCTTTCTGAATCCCGCTTGCACATCCCAAATTTTTCCATCAGTTTCTTTCATGACCCTTTCAATCAGTACCTTAGCATACAGTTTTCCCACAATGCTAAGAAGGCTGATGCCACGGTAGTTTTTACAGTCCTGCTGCGACCCTTTTCCTTTATATACTGGGACTATCATGGCTTTGCACCAGTCTACCGGTACCCGCTTCAGTTCCCAGCATAAATTAAACAAGGTGTGCAGCAGGCCTGCCACGACTTCCTCTCCAGCCCTTAGCATTTCGAGTGAAACTCTATCATATCCGGCAGCCTTACCTGCTTTCATGCTTTTCATTGCTATCATTATTTCAACTATACTTATCTCGCTACCTCTTTCCTCTTCTTTCGGAGTTTCTACTTCACCTAGTACACACGTTGTCTCCTCACTCATAAACACGCTTTCAAAATATTCCTTCCATCTCTTTAAACTCAAAACTTCATCTTTCAGAATATAGCCATTCTCGTCTCTTATAACATTCATCATAGGCTGTTTTGAATGTCCCCTGGCAGTTCTTACAAGTTTCCAGAACATTTTAATATTTGCCTGGAAGTTATCCGATATTCTTCTATCATTCTTATCTGTTCTTTCTTGCTTCTTTCTTTCAACTACTTCTTTTACTCTCTTATTAAGATGTTTAAAGACTGCCTTTTTTCTTTCAATATCATCATTTATACCACTAGAATAATCAGCCTTTGTTGCTAGTAAATCTAGCCATGCTCTCTTCTTTGCTTCAACTTCCATACGTATCTAATCATCCCACCATAACGTATTATTTTTCCTTTCATTCTTCCTCTTACTAACACCACATACTTCGGTAGCTGCATCCACTAAACCTTTCTTTACATTTTGCCATACATTCTCCAAGTCTAACTCCTTCATACATAATTCATCCAAACTACTTATATTTTCTTTCAGTCTACATTTGAACTTGTTTCTCCTTTCTGTTCTAATATGCTGTAACGCAGTGGTAGACACAGATGATTGATGGCGTCAACACCTGAATAGACCATTAATTCGGCATAAAAACAAACAAAACAAATTTTTAATTACAATGTTTGCAAACATTGGTATTAAAAATAAGATAATTCCCAAAACAAATGAAATTCTATTTGAGATTTACTAAAACACCCAAAAATAGTTATAATAAGCAGGGTTGATGGGAACAATTTTCAGCTGCACCAATGATTTTCACTTCGAAAGAGAACTATCTATTATATCTATATAGTGACTTCTGCTTACTGTAGGAATCTATCAATTATGTGGGGAATATTGTAGTTCTACAAGTGAATACATAGCCTATGCTTAACCTTGTCTCATGAGATAAGATTAATATAATATATAAAAATAATATAAAAGAATAATAGTTGGGTAGATGGGGATAACAACTACACATTTAAAAGAAAACAGTCTTATTTAGAATTTATTGTAATTTTATATAATTGTAAATTTGGTTCTTAAGCTTTTCAACCGTATTTTGGCATGAATTATTGAACACAATTTGTATTGTTCAGAATAAATAATAATAATTGTTAATGTTAATTATCGGATATGTTAAGTACTCACAACTGAATTAATTATTATCTCTATACATGTTTCATTCTTTTGTTTAGTTAAAAAAAGAGAGAGCAACTTATACAATTTTTTTAATTTGTTCCATTTTTATGAGTAGGGTCATTACTTTATAAAAACATAAATATTAATAAAATTCTCATGCATATAAAATACTAAAAAGTTTTTGACTAAGCAGTTCTATGTTAAGGATAATATTTTTAATGTTGTACATAGATATTATAGTTGAATAATTTGTAAGCACTCACTTTACATTTTGAATATAATTGTCAGCTTTCTTTTTAGGTGCATAATAATTTAAACAGACATTATTGAATTATTTGTCAAATCATTGGTAAATATTGCTTTCAATTTAAGCAAACACTTCAAATGGAAAATTTAAACAAACACCTCTTTATTGGAACTTCAAAAGAAAAATTTTACTATCACAACACTTTATTATGTTTGGTTCAATCACTTCAAGAACAAAACATTACTGTAGATCTGCGTAATGATGCATATGTTTGCGGGACTGTCGTTTCTGTTGATGGGTAAGTTAAACTGAGTTTCCATTTTTTCCTACATAATTTTAAAATATGTTGGGCACATTATGAGAATGGTGGATGCTATACATGACCCAGTTTACCGTTAAGTTTGCAGCTTGCTTGAAACGGCGTCTTGTAAACTGGACGGTGATAGCTGTCAGTGTGCATGACAAGTCCACTTGAAGCAAAAATAGAATTTCAATTCTGCAGATTTGATGAAGCTTACAGCGTCATGTAAACTTGAACATGTGAACATGTAGGAGCAGTCAAGTATGTATGAAGCAATAAGCGATAGACTATGATTTCAACTGGTGCGTTATCACGCAAACTTGACGGCGAAATTGAACGTGAGTGGTTTATATGGATGCACTGCAAACTGTACGCTCCTTCAAGCTCGCTGCTAACTTGACGATAAACTGGAATTGTGTATGGCATTCATAGGCCTATTATAGCTATTTCACTTCTCAATTCATAAGCACTTATATGATAATATGAGTAGCCGTATTTCAAAAAAGCACTATAATTAATCCATCTTATATTTTCTAAAAAAAAAAAAACTTTATAATGCTATTTTGTAAAAACGGTTCGATGTTGATTTTGTATGTGGTGGTCTGTGAAACAGATTTTTGTATGGGCACGTATTGAAGGCCTATAGGCCCACTATCATATCCAAGACTTTTTTGTAAACATGCTCCTCTTCTTGTGTTTACCTTATTTTTCAACTGGAAACATCAATCAACGATGCATGTTTCATAGCAGGTACTTCCTGTTTGAGTAATTCAAATTTTTCAGTGATGACTGATGCTTTTCCTAACTCACTAACCTTGTATTGAAGCTCAGATATATCCTTAGTAAACGGGTGATATCTACATGGTCAAATGTTACAGGAGGGATTTTGGTAAGATCCTTTGACTTGAAAACTGGATAAAGTTCTGAATCCGTTCCCTTGAGCAGGCCGATCATGTCCTCCAAGTCCCTGGATACTTTTTTCTTGCCTTCCTTTCGTCTAACAGGCATATCTTTTTCCCGCTTTTTGGTTAAGACTCGCATTATAATATTTTGGCTTTTACTAAGGTGGGTGTAAAAAAAGTGGTTTATATGTTACCTAATAAAACAAAGTATTACTTAAATATTTTTTAGTGTCATTTATTCAGTAAATAAACGAAGAATAACTGTTTATTTGCTAGAGTGGCCTTCCATGGTACACCCACTCTAGCAAATAAACAGTTATTCTTCGTTTATTTACTGAATAAATGACACTAAAAAATATTTAAGTAATACTTTGTTTTATTAGGTAACATATAAACCACTTTTTTAAATTGCAGATTTAATCAATATTGATTGAACTTAAGTTTCATTGAACTCTTCCAAAAGGCTTTGCTTTTTTTTTGCGCCCGAAGCAAATATGGGCAACCCTCCGGAAAGCGGGGGAGGGAGGTTGGGAATGCTCATAGCATACCACGCAGCCGGCTGCGTGGTTATGTGGTGACTTTTATCCACTAAACCCAACCCTTTAGGAATTGGCTTAACGATCTGACTAGAGATCTCTAAGCCGTATACGAACGCGACCCTCCTTGGCAGAAAGGAGGGCGCAAAAGGCTTTGCTAGGAACAGGGTTCCTTAGAAGGCGATTACAATAAATCAGTCATTTAACACTAAAGTTTAATAAATAGCGATTAAATCTACAATAAAAAGAAGTGGTTTATATGTTAGGTAATAAAACAAAATATTACTTAAATATTTGTTATTTTCATTTATACAATATGTAACGTAATTAACGCACACTCTCAGACACCCCAATCAGTATATTATGTTATAATCATAATACACACACTGAATTTTCAGTTAAACATTTTTATGCACTGATTATTTATCAAATTAGTTATACTAATTCCGGAAGAATGTTGTGGTCACAGTACAAATCCACGAACGCAAAGACTTTAACGTGCTTGAAATAAAGTTCATTTTTCCTTATTTTTATTGAATGACAGAATTAGTAATAATACAAATAAAACTGCACTCTCAAAAATCTTATTGCAGTTACGGTCCATTTCAGTTTGTTTTGACAGTACAGATTTAGTGTGACTAATTTACGTAGTTTTAATTAGTAGATATGAAGTAAAACAGATTACACCGTAGCACTTTTTATTCACTCGATCAACGAATCACAGTAATTATATATTATTCCTTACTTAATGTAAATGAGCACAGATTTGAGCAGAGTAACTAACTTGTAGGCAGGAGACTCACAATAGAACGCCCACTAAGACACAGCAGTACCTTTTATAGTTTATAATGATGTTATGATTACCCACAAATCTTATTATCCTTACATAATATGTTACTCTAAGGTTTTATAATTTATTAACCTTATAATCATGTATATAGGTGTTATATGTAATAATATATTATATAGGTGTCGATGGTTTCAAATCCATTGGTAACATTCGGCCATCCTGATTCAGACGCGTCCCGCGGCGCTCATTATATTCGCCACTTTGCCTCTAAAAAGAGAAAAGAAAATTACGCAGTAAATGGTGCTATTATGAAAAAGAAATCATGTAGACAAGATTTATTATGTTTGATTACAGGCCATGAATAAAGATTGAAACTATTTATGTAACTAGTTGTTTACCTAACAGTTCTGGTACATTGACAATTTTGGGCTTATTCGCTTAGCCATCCCAGTGTTTTAACAAATATGGATTAATTCAATTAGCTATCCCGGATCTATAACTATTGTGGACTTTGTCACCTAGCTGTCCCTTCTTTTAATTGTTATGGACTTGTTCACTTAGCTGTCCCTCACTTTTAACTATTATGGACTTGTTCACTTAGCTGTCCCTGACTTTTAACTATTATGGACTTGTTCACTTAGCTGTCCCTGACTTTTAACTATTATGGACTTGTTCACTTAGCTGTCCATCATTTTTAACTATTAGGGACATGTTCACTTAGCTGTCTCTCAATCTTAACTACTATGAACTTGTTCACTTAGCTGTCCCTCACTTTTAACTATTATGGACTTGTTGACTTAGCTGTCCCTTAATTTTAACTAAATAAAGAAAGAAATAGAATAATGGAAAATAAAAACAAGGCAAAAATATGCTTAAACTTGACTTGGACAACAATAAGAGTATCGGTTACAAAATTATTATTTTTTTGTTTTAAAATCTCCGCTCTAGCTATGAGTTTATTAGCAGGTCATGATATAGTTACATTCCCAACGTTAAGTACCTTTAAATAAGACGTACTCGAATTAATGATCGCTTCTGGTATATAATACGATAACCCACCTAAGTGAAAACACACTGCATGTGTTAGAAATGCGTGCTTATTTTTGTCAGCATTACTATTACAATCGACACTTACGCTAATGTAGGAATAGGTTTGGCTAGGTATAGTGACCTCTAATTTTGTAAAAACTGGAAATTTCGAACCATATTCAATTATGTTAAAACTGTTATTTGTGAACATATCCCCTAAAGTAGAGATTGGAACAAATTTTACGCTATTTGACGTCGTAACTAAGCTCACATTTTCTTGATTTATCATTGATTGTCCAATTATTAAATCTATGCCTGGTAGCTTGCAATCGGTTAACTCTACACTTCCTACTAAAAATAAATCATCAACATTTACAATAATTTGGCAAGTACCTAGCGAATATGAACAGGCCCCCCCCCCCAAACCTCTCATTACAGCGACCGAGGGCCGTGCTTTAAGTTTCATTTTTCTGGCTTGTATAATAGTAAGTATGCTAAGCTTACTTCCAGTATCTATATAGGCCATCAATTGAATATGTGGGTAGATATTAAGCGTTACGTGTAATATCTCACTAACCTTATAAGCCTGTTGCTGCATGGGACCAACTCCAGAGTAAGTCGCAGTCCCGGCTGCATACCAGCATGCATCAGTTGAGTGCCCGAAGCGTTGACACACACCGCAACGCTGCTGGCAGTCCTTCCCTTCATGTCCTGGTCGTCGACACACGTAGCAGATCCTTGGAACGATCTGACGGCGACCCGAAGTAATTTGTGTATTTTTTCTCCAGTAAGAGTTGCTCGGTGTAAACGCCGACGTATCCCTGCGCTTAACGTTCTCTAGTGATGACAGATAACCGAAATATAGTTGTTCGGGCGTTTCACAATTGTGGGCTTCAACATTAGCTCTCAATTCAGGTGGTAAGCCTCGAATAATACAGGAGACCATTTATGTTGAATTTTTTGAGGAGTGACAACTTTTCATGATAATATTTAGTCATCGTTTCATCGTCGCTTTTTGATCTTACCAGCATTATTTCTAGCCTGTCTACGTAGTCGGTAGATCGAGGAAAAGCAGTTTGAAGTGCTTCCTTCCACCCGTCTCAAGTAAGGGCATAATCTTCATCATCGTACCACTCCCGAGCAGATCCTGCAAGACGTAATTGCATTATAAATTGACGATCTTTGTTATTCCACCCATATATGTCACCTAACTGGTCAATTTAATGAAGCCAAGCCAGTAACGTTGCCGGTTTGATCGTCTGGGCAGAATTTGGGTATGATTTCCGCATCTATCGGAGACACACGACGCCTTTTCGCAAGCACAGAAATTTGTTTTTCAGAAAAAAAAAATATCTTCATCTTCTTCCGAGCTTGCAGTGTCTTCGTATCTTCGCTTATGCTCTCCTATCCCTCCGATATACGGTCCGGACATAGTAAGTACGATCCCACTTCTGAAGTTTTAATTAGTAGATATGAAGTAAAACAGATTACACCGTAGCACTTTTTATTCACTCGATCAACGAATCACAGTAATTATATATTATTCCTTACTTAATGTAAATGAGCACAGATTTGAGCAGAGTAACTAACTTGTAGGCAGGAAACTCACAATAGAACGCCCACTAAGACACAGCAGTACCTTTTATAGTTTATAACGATGTTACGATTACCCACAAATCTTATTATTCTTACATAATATGTTACTCTATGGTTTTATAATTTATTAACCGTATAATCATGTATATAGGTGTAATATGTTATAATATATTATATAGGTGTCGATGGTTTCAAATCCATTGGTAACAGTAGTTTTAATTATTTTTTTGATAAAAAATTACCTATATTAAAAATTATAGGAATCGATTCAGTAAACGATTCTGAACAAACTACTTTCTCAAAGTGCGTTAATTAAGTTACATATTGCATACACACACATATATAAATAGTATTTATAATTATGTATGAATGTTAGTTCTTTTACTTGTAACTTAGCAATTTTTCAGTCAAATACAAAAAAATAAACGAAATGCAAAATTACCTATCTTGTGAACCATGGAACTAGAATAAATAGAATTGATATTTCTACGTAATTTAAAATCTATAATTTTTTTATAGATTAGAAACAGTGGAACCTCACGAAAATCATCATTGTGAAACTATTGATATAATAAGTAAATTGAATCGCACACATAGGAGCGAGCAGTATAAGTATATATATTTATGCTTTATTATTTATACTCTTATTCTTACTTACCTATTATCTTATCTATTAAAACACTGGCGTAACATCGCTAATCCGTTAGTTTAACCTCACTGTCGTTAGATGGCGTTCACTTGATTGTGTCAATGTGTGCATGCATCATTCGGGGTCACTTGGCTCTTGTAGTCCCCTTAAATATTGAAAAACCAATTTCTTAACCTTTTCCATCAGAATACAAGATCAGCCCTCATTGGAACACCTCCATCTAAAGGTGCATTCCTGTTTTGCTTGTAACCCTCTCTGTTATCTTACCAATTCTCAGACTTCCTCAGGTACGATTATGCATTGCACCTGCCCAAGTATCGAGAAATCTGACTTCGTTAAATATCCTGGTGTTATAATAGATAACAACTTAACGTTTGAAAAACATATAGCTATGCTAACATATAGCTATGCTAACATATAGCTATGCTAACATATAGCTATGCTAAATATGTATGCTACTTAGTTGCTATCTAGATTGAGAAAGTTGATTTATGTATTTAAAAACCTTAGAAATCTTCGGATATAAAAGTGATCAAAACTATTTATTTTGCCTTTGTGCAATCTCTTTTACTGTAGGTACAGTATAATTTCATGGGGTGGTGCAGCAAAAACCCGTCTTATAGAATTGGAACGTACGCAAAGAGCCATTCTAAAGGTGGGGTTTTTATTACTATTTTTATTTTCAACTACAGAACTATACAAATGATGCGTGGTTCTTACTGTTAGGCAAATGTTTATTTTACAAACTGTATAGCATGTCTTCTCCAATCTCAGGAAGAGGGGTAGGATAGTTTGTAAAAGTCAAAAATTTGATTAAAATTTTTGTCATAGATTCTTTTGTTATCTTCGTAGTCTTCTTTACAATAGGAGAAATATGTCTCTCTCTCTCTCTCTCTCTCACTCACACACACACACACACACACGCAAGCACATACGCTTACGTATAAATTAGTATTTAGTCTTTTAAATTAGATTTTCTTTTTATTGTAACTAATTACAAAAAGTAATTATAGATCATATTGTCGCACGAAGTGTACTAAAGTTAACTTCCAATTGTTGTACTATTTCAAGATCAGGTAGAAAATAAAAGGGTTGATTCCAACTATTACACTTTATTTCACTTTCTACAATACTATTTCGAGACCAGATAGAAAACAAAACGGTAGATTCAAACTATTACTCCTTGGTTCAATTTACAATTTAAACTTATACACAATTCAACTTCACTTCACGTCTTACTGCGACGACTCGAGCTAATGCCACTCTTCATTTAATAATCAACCTTTCGCACTCGTTAGCAGGGTGGGGCGGCATCATTTCCGCCAAACTCTTTTACAGAAATCAAAACATTATTCTTCCGGTTAAATTATATTACTCTATCTATTATCCGTAATCATTAATGTTAAAAACTAATAGTAATTATAATATAAAGTTAAATCGAGTTATTCTGTTATAAACAATAATATAATAGTTATTAACCTAACATTAATCTAACAATAATAGAAATGCAATAATAGTAACCTAACAATACCTACCGCCATTTTTTTATATCAGATCTATTTTAATGTGTACCTTGCAGTTATTTTTAGGTCATGTTGAGAGTAAATTTTATAAATTCATTTTTGTTTTTATCCTGACCGCTGACATACATATGATGATATTTTTAATTTTCCCCGTTTTACTACTAACTCACTCGATAATTGCAAATATTGAGTTAACTTTTTCAAACCTACACACTATATTACAAGACGACCTAAAAAGACTGTATTATATATACTTTACATATACTTGATTTTTCTCTCATTTTACAGATTTATGAACATATCGTTTTCTCATGCTGTATATTGTGATACACACGGAAATGAGTTCTCTTTTGAAAATTTGTTTGTGCAATCACGTAATATCAGATACGTTCACGTACCGGAAAATGTAAGTAGTATTAAAACCTTATCTTAGTCAGTCGTCATTTTTATGGACTACATAATCGATTTACAAAAGGTTAGATTTAAAAGGCAATTATATCTGATTATCAATTGGTACCTAAAAAAAACTCATATTTCGTAATTTTAAGTCTCAATGAAAACGATCCTCAAAGAAAACTTAGGTACCTGTTTTCTTTTAGTATATTATTATTACCTGTTATTTTTACATTTCTCAATATTAATAGAAATTAGCCAACAGGCTCACTTGTTTAGCATTGTTCATTATCTTTAAATACATTCATGAATATGTTATACAATATTAGTTTTTATAGTTTAGTTATTTCGTTATTCAGTCACCATTTTACTATCCAAGATGAAAATAACTTCCATCAATCACAAACTTGATCAGCATACAACTAAATATTCTTTATTCCTATATATTGAATGACTGTAAAGATAGATCTCATTTCTTCATCTAAATGGTGAAACAACTATCTTGATTCCTAATTGTTTCTGAGGACGAATTTTCATAAAATTTAGTGTAGTAATAGTTAATTACTTTAGGGAAAATATAGACTTTTGTTTATTGTATGACTAGGGAACTGAAAAAGGAAGTATAATGTCTTGCCTTTGGATGTTTATTTTCATGACAAAAATAATCAGTTGTAGACTTTTCTATTTCACCCTATATTATGTCTACTTTGTGTATACTTGATTAAATTTATAATATATATTTTGTTTTTTACTTCAGATATCAATATTGGGTAATATAAAGGAAGCAGTGAAGAAAGATATTAAAAAGAAATCATCTGAAACACCCACTGAGAAGAAGTCCAGAAAGGCTAAAAAGGCACTTCAACAACATATGCAAATTGTAGCATCACTGGAAAATACGAAATAAGTCAACTTTTTGAAACTAACAGTGAAATGAAAGTTAATGTTTGGTAAAATATTACATTCTTTACATCAATTTTATGAAATTAAAGTTTGTTTCAACATTTATGCACATTTATTCAAACTATTAACACTACAGATTACTTATCATGGATTTTCTTTATAGGAATGTGTAGGATACAAAGTATCTTTAGAAGAAACTATATATTTACTAGTTTGCCAGGCAAACGTTGTTCTGCCCTTTTCGACGACCGTTTGTCATGTCCTATTAAAAATCCTTAAATTCGTAAAAAAAAATATTGTGTGTCACTCATGAGCATAAAAACTATCCTATCTCTCATGTTGGACCAAACTACAAACGGTGTGAAAAATTTATTAAAATCGGTTGATTAGTGGATTTTCTTCTGTCCATCGCGGACAAACAACGTGAAACGTAACTTATATTTATTAAGATTATTTATTAATTATTGCCAGTCGCGCATTTTACAAATTCATGTCTATAAATGCATTAGGTTTACACAGATATCAATATTGGGTAATTACTAAGTACTGGCCACGTGGATCATTATTTGCATGTGGATTTTGTCTATGCATTTAGTTTTCATTGTAGGCTGGCAAACAAAACTGGTTAACATGGGAATAATTATTAATTTGCACTGATGTGATAATCCATCATTTTTGTGCGTGAGTTGATTATGAAATGTCTCTTGAGGGTAACTTGTGAGTTGTTTCCCTAGATTTAAATGGCAAGACATATCTAGTTCAATGTTGCCCTCGTTCTGTCGGCGATGTGGTATTTCTAATGGCACATTCTGCCCTTGTTGTTTGATGAAAATTTTGTTTTAATGTCTGTTTAGTATCGCAAATAGTATTAATATTTGCATGAAGAAAGATGTCTTACGCTTCTTTAAAATGTGGCGGTGCCGTAGTTGTAGTCGATTGAGCGTCAGAAGATTGACTGCACAGATTGACTGCAGAGTTAGATTGATATATGCTTGTTATCATAGAGGTTGGACTTGGCGATGATTGCGGTCGAGCAACAACTTGTGGGTTTATCGAACCTGAAACAACGTTAAATTATTATTAAAACATGCCAGAATGTTTTATATCTGTATTAATATGTGAAGAGAAACCTTTGTAGCCCTTTTTAAGTGTAAGACTTGAAATATTTAAAGTCTATATGACTAAGCAGTACAAAAAGCTATATAATTATATTAGGTCCCTCACATATGAAATGAGCGTTTTGTCGTACTGACCACTTTGATCTGAAATATCTCCTCTTTGGTTAAGAATTCACAACTCAAATTTATAAATTCATTTAGATGGTACATTTGAGTTTTGAAAACAGTAATTTGTTTTTTCCTCATTAATTTTTTCTTTGGCGTCGCTTATTACCGCACAATGGAAAACGTGAAATATCGGTATATTTACGAGTAAGAGTTCTACCGTGGCACCAGTGCTGCAGAAACAGCTCGAAAGATTAATGATGTGTACGGCGCTGGTGTCGCAAAAGAAAGCACGGTACATTTTTGGTTTCAAAATTTTCGCTCTGGAAATTTCGACCTTCAGAACCAACCCCGTAGAGGGCCGGAGACCAAAGTGGAAAATGAAGAATTAAATGCTATTGTTAAAGCGGATCCACCACAAAGCACTTCAGAGATATTCGTAGCTGCAGGCTTCGGGGTAAGTAATAAAACTGTATTAATCCACTTGAAGCAAATCGGGAAAGTAAAAAAAACTTCAACGATGGGTACCTCATGAATTGAGTGAATCAAACTTGCAAACACGCGTCGACTGCTGTGTTACTTTGCTCAACCGACACAAAAATGAAGGGATTTTAAATCGAATCCATACTTGTGACGAAAAGTGGATACTGTACGATAATGGGAAGCGTTCGTCGCAATGGCTGAACCCTGGAGACCCAGCCAAACCTTGCCCTAAGCGAAAATTGATTCAGAAAAAGTTACTTGTGAGTGTTTGGTGGACTAGCGCCGGTGTCGTTCACTACAGCTTTCTAAAATCTGGCCAAACGATTACGGCAGATATCTATTGTCAGCAACTGCAAGCCATGAAGGAAGAACTAGCTGCTAAACAACCGAGATTGGTCAATCGTTCTAGGCCACTGCTGCTTCACGAAAACGCAAGACAACACACTGCACAACAAACAACCACTAAGTTAGATGAGCTACAATTGGAATGTCTGCGACATCCACCGTACTCCCCGGACCTTGCTCCAACAGATTACCATTTTTTCGGGAATTTGGACAACTTTTTAAAAGGAAAAAAATTCAACTCCGATGCGGCAGTCCAAACCGCCCTCAAAGAGTTTATTGATCCTTGCCCCCATGGTTTTTTTAGTAAAGGTTTAGTAAAGGGATCAATGAACTACCTATGAGATGGCAAAAGTGCATAGATAATAACAGTGCATACTTTGATTAATTAAATATATTTTGCAAAAAAAATTGACTTTATATTCCTCCCGTACAAAACGCCAATTTCATATGTAAGGACCTAATATATAATGTGTTACAAATATATTAAATAAAGTAAAATGTTCATTGTTTACGTTCATATTGCAAAGTCAAACACATTAATCTATGTTTAAACAGTCGCATAGAGTAGAAATTGTTAACGAACTATAGTTCATAAAAGATAGCTTGATCTCTGCGACAGCTGTCAGTAAAAATCACGCCTATGAAGTCCTGAATTTCTTAGTAGTACAGACAGTACCTGTCAATGTCATACTTTATGGGCATGCCGACCTAATTAGTACATGGCCCATAAAGTATGACATTGACAGGTACTGTCTGTACTACTAAGAAATTCAGGACTTCATAGGCGTGATTTTTACTGACAGCTGTCGCAGAGATCAAGCTATCTTTTATGAACTATAATTGATTGAAAGAGCTGTAATTTTGTGTGATTTTTAATGTTCCTTTTTAAAATAGTCTGTGGAGTGTATGGCAAGACAAAAAATCATTTATGTTTTATGTAATACCAATGGGCAGTTTGAAACTAAAATATAGCATACTTAATATAAAACTGTAGCAAAAGTAAAATTTTTCATATGTATGACAGGGATTAAGGCAAACAACACACGCTAACAACGTATTTTGTAAACGCTCGCAGCTGAGGTAATAGAACAAAATTAAACATATACTGCGTGACTATTTTTACCGTCTGGAAAATAATATGGTGTTTTGTGTAAGTGGAATAGAAGCTATCCTCGAAAATATTTGTAAAATAAAATAAAATATAACTAGATAGGCAAAATTTCCGAATATCAAAAAAATACATAAAAACAATTCATCCTACAGCGTTTGCGCAAAATTAAAAATAGGCTACGATCGCTAGTGAATGAAAGTTGTAAGAACTAGCGAGACGCATGCACATCTTATATTTATTTTGGATTTTGACTGCCTCGTTACTTTAGAGGTTGTAGTAGTGTGACAGCTGATCATTAGGTCCTGGGTTCGAATCCCGTGTCGGAACAAAAAAATCAATTTATTCAGTTTTTCCGTCAAGAAATTCTCAGTAGCTGCCCCGAGTCAGGAAGTTAGCGGTGTCTCACCCCCGTGCCTCAGAAAGCACGTAAAGCCGATGGTTGGTGGTTGGTTGGTGGATGGTTTTTTCACGTATAATGTCAATGACCATTCAGTTCAGTGTAAGCAGACGTCCCAGTACCAGTTATTAGTAAAATACTTGGTCGATAAAAGAAAAAGATTTAAAATAAAGAGCACTTCTCATTGTCACTTTTTCATTACTAATGACGTCGCGTGTCGCATGCAGAACGCATTGTTGTAATCCTTGCCAACTTTTAGCAACCGCTCGGCCGTACCAACGCCGACGGTAAGCATTTTTCTCTATATCGAATTGTCCAGTCTTACAATATCAACGTTAACTCCGTAGATATTGCGACATCACGTCCTAGTATGTTTAAAAAGCAAATTCTTGATTTGTTTATACAACACGTACGAATTAACTTGAGACTCCGCTGGAATGCGACCCCCTTCCCGACTCCCCGCACCGCGTCCCGCGCTGGCCGTGCACGCTCAGTACCGATAGCATTTTTGTTACGGATACGCTTTGTATTTTGCTTTGTATTTTTATTGTGTACGAATCTGTAACACTTTTTGTAGTGCAATAAAGTGTATAATAAATAAATTAATAATATTATAAATGAGAAAATGTGTATGTTTATTTCTTTGTCCTTCCTTGACGCGTTAACTAAAAATTATTATATATATTATAAAAAATAAATATTTAAAATATATAAAAATGGCAACAGTATATCACTTATTACTTCACCCCTTGCCAGAACATTTTATTTTGTTTTTATTAATAATCTCATGCAAATCTCAAAAATTTCAAATAAAAAATATTACGACGCATTATTTTGCACACAGTACATTGACAATTACGTCATTGGCCCAGGTCTCAAGTTAATTTGTACGAGTTGTATAATTGCACTGCCTATCAAATTTTCGCGCGTTTATAATTATTCACTTTTGTATCTAAGCTGTGGTAAATGTAGTGGCTGTCGCAATTGTTAAGATTACTTTTATCATCCTTGTTGTTCAAATATTTCATTGTGCCATTGTTTATTTACCCCAATAAATTTAAATAAATCAAAGGTCTACTGCTGAAATAGGCCTCCCATATAGATTGCCACAAAGTATGATAGATACTAAGCCATTTTCACCTGCACTTATCAACTACCTTTTCACCCTTTTCATCACTCTATTTAATGGGTTATCACCCAATACTTGACTACTCTTGATCTTATACGGATACCCCAAAACGGAGTTTATCTTGAAGAAATATTCCGAGCATAGCCCTTTCCATCGTTCCCAAGTGACTTTTAGTTTCCTCATTATATATATAAAATAGGAGGGCAAATAATTTGACCGGGGAAGGACCACGCTCTCACAGAATTCTAGCGTAAAATAGTAGCTTAATGCTGCTGTTTCGTATGGTGAGTGTAGAGAACCGGAGACCTTTTTTACTGGAAACGAGGCATTCCATCTTAGTCCCCACGAGTGAGAACGCATCTGCATTTTGATACGTAATCGAGGATAAATGTAGATGTCTATGGGCTACAGTAACCACTTACCATCAGGTGGACTGTGTGCTCGTTTGTCACCATATCCTATCAAAGAAAAAGATATCGGTAGTTGGGACTAAGGCGAAGTTTTTGTTATATGTACATTGTCATTTGTGAAGTTGCCTTTTAAATAATATTTCATTGGTTTCTAGTGTCAAATAAATACACAAAAAATGCCTCAGTGGTTTTTCTCCTTAATATTTTTAACATTTTTAAGTCTTTTTTTATTTTTCTTCTTTTAGGAATATCCATTGTCGAACGTACGCACGCACACTTTGAAGCACTGACACGCTCACGTGTACATACGCACGCACGAGCGCACGTTTATAGCGGAATCGGGCGGAAGTTAAAACGTAGAAATATGTTCAAATTTTGTCATTCAGTTTCTTGTTTTTTCAACTAATTGAAATAAAATATAACTAAACTAAAAGAAACATTAAACCTTGCATTTTCCTAACAAGTTAATTATTACCTTCCCGGCCATGTAATATGTCAAATGATAATTCATCCTAAGTGGCGACGCTTTGGTGGCAAAAATAGTGATTCACCTTGTGGTTTGAATTTGGCAAGTTGCGCGTAGACCTGCTTTATGCGCTCGATGTTGATCTGCGAGACTTTGGTGTGGTCGACCATGGGCAGCGGGTAGTCGCGGCCCACCACGCAGCGCGCTGCGCGCTGCACCTCCGCAGGCGCCGTCCACGGCTCGTGGATGTACTGCGTCGGCATGTCCTTCAGCACAGGGATGTACTTCCTATAAGACGACGAATCGAATTTACCCCTCAGATCCTGACACATTGTATCGGACCAACTCTGTCAAACCTGTGGTCGGCAAGATAAATTATTTTTTTGGTTCTCAAAACCAGCTCTGTCAACTAATGTATGGAAACTTTGCGGCATTAATAACAGCGATATTGAATAAACTACGTCGGCTTTGCATGTCGGTATAGCACTTAGCACACAATATATTAAAATCAATAAATAGATACACTCCCATTTTAGAGGTTTTCAAACGAGTTGACAACTTAAAGGCGCGGAAACACATGCCAGTAAATCTGGAAAGTAGCTGGCATGTACGAGTAACTGGCACACTGCGGATACATTTGCAAGTAATACTGTCATGCAAGTTGTGCCCTTGCATGCCAGTATTACCATCGCGTACCTATTCTTGCGCGCCAAAAATGGATAACAATCGAAGTGAATTAAACAAAATCCTGTTGTTACTAGCAATTGAATGTGTAGCTCAATTAAGAGGTAAATAGAAAAAAAAGAACACGGATTTGGGTAAGAGATCGGATTAGTAAAAGGGAAGATTTTGGAGCACGTAGTTGTCTGCTTAAAAAAAATGCGTCAAGATTCTGATGGTTACAGAAACCATTTGAGAATGCTCCCAGAAAAAATTGATGAATTGTTAGGAAAAATTGGGGACAAAATAACAAAAAATGATACTCACATGCGAAATACCATCCCGGCAATATCCAAATTGGAAATAACATTAAGATTTTTAGCTACAGGTGGTTCATTTGTATCTCTAGATGCAATGTAGAGTAGGAAAATCGACGATTCCACAGTTCGTTCCAGTTGTTTGTAGTGAAATAGCTACTGCACTAAAGGATTTTACTAAAGTAAAACAATTTTGATTATCTTTCATGTTTTTATTTATTTTAGCATAGAAATTAGGCATTATTCCAAGCTTGAGTAAAAATATTGTCCTGATTCTTGACCAAAAGTGATAGTGTTATCTTCTGTAATGTTTAACTGTGTATATGGTATTATGTATATGGCAGAAGATTCAGTTATTTCTTCAGAATATATAGATGTGTTAGAATACGGAGTGGAAGGCTTAGAATATGAAGTGGACAATCGAGACCGTTCTTTACTTAGCAAAACTTGGATTTTGGATTGCATATCGAGCGTTATTAAATGGTAATGATCTTAACTGAGTAGAAATGTTTTGTCCGAAATAATAAGACTCATCTTTTTCATTTGATCCCGGATTATTGATTGCAGTAGCAATATTTTCCAGGCGTTGAAGTGCAGTTAAGGTTTCGTTTTGCTCTACACGTTTTCTCTTAGTCTGACTAGTTTTTTGTGGTCGGTTGACTGCTGCAATGTGAAAGGAGGATTGCTGGTCCTGGAGAGAGGGTGATGGCGCTTGCTTGTTTTTAGTGCTTGCTTGAGAGAATGAGTTAGATTGGTCGACTGCGACAGTGAAAGTTTCGTTGTTTGCTGGGTTGACTGTTTGAGAGGAGGATTGTTGGTCTGATGCAATACCTCTTTGAGAGTGTGATGGCGGTGTTTCTGTTTCAGTGCTCGATTGAGAGGACTGTTGTACCTGAATTTTTTTTTTAATCAATTGTTGCAGGTAGTATTCGTTACTTTATGTTTTTAGACATTTTGTTTTCAGATTACTACGAGGCAGGAATGGAAGGAGATAGAAAATGGCTTTGAAACTAAATGGAACTTTCCAGGCTGGCTGTATTGGAGCTATCGATGGCAAACACATAAATATTATTGCCTGACGATACGTATATAAAGGAAGCCACGGCATAGTGCTACTAGCATTGGTAGATGACGATTACTGTTTTTCCTACATTGATATAGGATGCAACGACAGAGCGTCAGATGGAGGAATGTTTGAAAGATCAGGCTTGAAACAAGCATTAGAGAATAATTCTTCAGATATTCCTGAATATTCTGTTATAGTTGAAGATGCAGCTTTTAAATTCACAATTTCTCGGAAGGCCCATAGGAAGTGAGCTTCGAAAGAAGCCTTTTGTGCCAAACCCGGTCGAAGGCCTTCGCATGTCCAAACTAGCGGCCAATGCCTCCCCCTTAGACTCTACTGCCTCCGCCCATCTATGAGTTAGGTAGACCAGAAGATCAGCAGCTGATCGACCACGGCGAAAACCGTATTGGCGATCGTTAATCAGCTGGTGATCCTCAAGATACCTCATGAGCTGGCAGTTTACAATGAACTCCATTGTTTTGGGAACAAGGAGGCGATAGCGATAGGCCTGTAGTTGGATGGGTCTGAGCGGTCGCCTTTTTTTAGGGATCGGGTAGACGAAAGCCGTCTTCCATGACAATTGATTTCGGAAAACCACTTACTACCACTACTACCACTACTTATATCACACAAAGGTGTGTGAGTTATGAAGATATGCAACTCGGTACTATTATTAATGGCTATTGGCGTGATCAGTTACAAACATCTTTACGGAATTTATCAGGAACACAAAATAATCGATCACTTAGAGAAGCGGTACTTATCTATACTTATAATAAATCTGTAGAGAGGTCAATTCTCTACATGAAATATATTTCCAAAATAACTATCAGGGGGGGGATTAGTGATCGATACTAATGCCAAAAATGCAAACAGTAAAATTTTTGTCTGTCTGTCTGTTGTATGTTCGTTATAGAAACAAAAACTACTCGATGAATTTTAACGAAACTTGGTACAATCCTTCTTCATACTCCTGGGCAGGTTATAGTATACTTTTCATCACGCTACGATCAATAGGAGCAGAGCAGTGAAGGGAAATGTTGGGGAAACGGGAGAAATTACTCTATTTTTTAAGCTTCCGTCGCGTGTGCAGCCTTAATGGTTAAAGCTACACAGAAATCATGTTTAACGGAAATGTTCTCCTTAAAATTATGTAAAAAATATCCCACGACAGCATGTCTATCTTTTATAGTTGACTCACAATAACACGTGTAACTCCCGATAGCTTAGCAGTTCGGAGCTTTCTGATTATATTTGTCTACTCTTACGTTTATAACACTCTCACTCATCCCTAATTAAAAAAAGTTAACATTATTATCTATTCAATAAAAAAGAATCATGGAAATCGGTATAGAAACACCAAAGTTATACATGAAATACGCTAATAAGCCATCGCGCGTGAATACTGAATCATGCTATAAGGATTATTTTTGTGTAACGGTCGCCGCGTTCGACGCGGCTCGCGACGGGAGGTATAAAAAAGCGGGGGGTCCGAGCTCCGAGTATCCTACGCGGGCCCCGTCTTTGCCCACGCAAACCCTAACATTATAAATGAACTCCAAATAGTTCAGAACCTCTTCTGCCGTCGAGCTGCGAACGCACCTTGGTACGTCCGTAATGCCGACCTTCATCGGGACTTAGAGCTCCCAACAATTCAACAATTCCTTAAAAAACTCTCTGAGAACTTCTTCAAAGTCTCAGAGTCGCACCCAAATCAATTAATTCGTGAGGCAGCTTCTTATGCAGCCCCAGCGCCCTCTCGCTATCGTGTCCGCAGGCCGAGAAACTCTCTCTCGGACCCGCCTAATAAACTGTCAAACGACCTGAACTGTCTCCTGGCGGCTCAGGCCAACTCTAATTAAACTAAATTAGGTATTGTATTAACCAACTTTAATTTGCCTTCGTAGGCACTCCCTCAGCGGCTCTTAGCCGCCTGCGCCCTCTTTTCCCAAAAGAGGGTCGCTCATGATAAGGCACAATAGAGCTTAATCAGCCGGTTGCCTGTCCCCAAAGGCGGTTTTTAGAGGGTATCACTTAGGGTCCCCGGTAGGACAGTGAGCCCCTCATAACCACGATAGACCGGCTATCGTGGTATGCGTAATGCATTTTCCGCCTCCCTACGTATAGGGTAGCCCTTTAATTGCTTCGGGCGCAAAAAAAAAGCTCCGAGTGCATTCCGCCTGTGGCATCGCTTCTGAGCGGTCGCATCCAGGCAGTCCGCGCTTTCGTCCTCGTACGGTAGTGCTCTCCAGCTCTCACGCCTCCGCTGTCCCGCTCGCGCTGTACAGCGCCGACGCAGTGCTCACTCCGCCGGTGGCATCGTTCTCGGACGGTCGCCCCCAGGTGGTCCGCGCTCTCGTACCAGTACGGTAGCGCTATCCTGCTCCCGCGCCTCCGCTGTCCTGCTCACGCTTGGCAGCGTCGAGGCTGGTGAGTCACTTCACGCTTACAGCTCTTGCCCTCCTGTCTTCGGGCAGGGAGGTTTGACTGACCTCCGCTTTTTCATTTTCATTTGTCATTTTTCAAATTTTAAATTTTTTTAAATTTTTTTTTCTTGTTGTTCTTGCATTATTATTACGTGTATTGTCTCGTAGTACGTCTCGCGTTCAAGTCCCTGTTCTACCGAGAACAGGGTCCCGTCCTCATCGTTACCGAGCTTAGCTTACTGCCCCAAAATGGCCACATCCAGCTTCACTGAGTCCCTAGCCGCCCTCATAAACCAACATGGTTTAAACGGCAATCAGATGGTCCTTGCCGCCATCGTCACCATCGCCGCCCAGGCTTCCCTCCCTGCCCCTCAGGCACACCATCCGCCGCCAGTAATCGCGACATACCTCGAAACGAGGAACTCCTTTGCCGCCCTTGAGTCTGTCCCCTTAGAAATGGAGTACGCATGCTCCGAGTCCTCGGCGCCGGCCTCCCGGAAGAGGCCCGCCACCACTTCAGGCTCCGGTTCATCGGAGTCCTATGACTCCGACGGAACCGGCGAGTCAACATTTACCACCGTCAACTCCAAGCGCAACGGTAAGCGCGCCGCGTTAAAACCCTATCTCAGCGGCCCCTTCCGCTCCTACAAACTCCGCAGCCCCCGCCGCTGCCGCCGTCCCACTCATGTCACTAGACATCCCAACTCCAACAAAACCATCCTCTCGATGTGCTCCAGTCCTTGCTAAGAAGCAAGTCCCGCCCCCCTGTCTTCCTAAGAGACAAGGCAAAATTCACCCAATTGTCCAAAACCTGCTACG